TTTTTTTTTCGTTGACATTAAGGCCATGATGTTGTTGCTTGTGCTCAAACCGGGTCAGGCAAAACTGCTGCATTTGTCATACCGCTTCTTCAAGCCTTGATGAGCGAACCACGACCATTTTATGCTCTCATTATTACTCCCACTCGGTATGTAAATCACATTGCTTGTCATGCATTTTCTATTTCCCCTCTCTCAATTTTCCTCTTCGACTTGTATCTCATTGACTTCGCTTCTTTATATGCACCCTAGCTTTCGCTTTTTCGTTTGAAATTGGTTGTTTTATCTCAACTTGTGCTATTCTTAGTATTTTTCTTTTTACGCTGTCTTGTCACGCACAAATTTACCCCTCTTGTCCTTATCATATGGATTACTTAAATTAACGCGGATTTCAAATGCCTTTAGTGAGCTTGCTCATCAAATTGGTGAACAGACTGCGGGTCTTAATCTGGTACAGGGGAAGTCGATATGCACTGTTTATGTCGTAACTGGAGGCCAGAGCATGATCCGACAGGGAAGTGATTTAGCTCGGGGTCCGCACATTGTCGTTGCCACACCTGGACGGCTGGCCGATCTTTTGCGCACCCAGAAATCATATGCAGATTCTGGTTCCGTTCCTGAGTGGAACCTCTCTCGCGTGAAGGTCCTCGTGCTCGATGAAGCTGATCGACTCCTGGAAGACAACTTTGGCAAAGATCTTGCGGAAATTATGTCAGCTCTACCCCAAAACCGTCAAACTCTTCTATTTAGTGCTACCTACAGTGGTGCTGTCAAGCGAGCTGTAGAATCTGCGAGGGCAACTGCCATCGCAGAGAACCGTAACCCTCCCATTATATGGGAGTCAAAGGGTATCACTGAGTCTTGTGGACTGAAAACCGCCAGTTCTGCCACAGTTGATACCCTGTCCCAGTATTATCTAATCACGAAACCTGAGTTAAAGGATGCTTTCTTAGTCCACGTCATCGATCAATTTCTTAATGAAAATTCGCATTCGTTAATAATTGTTTTTACAAATAAGTGCAAATGGTGTCATCTTCTTGGTTTAATCATGTCGTCAGTGGGTATTCAGTCGGCCGTGTTGCATTCCTCTATGCCTCAGTCTGATCGAATTGCAGCTCTGACATCTTTCAAGTCGAGTCATGTGCGAGTGTTGATTGCAACTGATCTCGCTAGTCGCGGATTGGATTTTCCCACGGTTGACGCCATAATCAATCACAACGTTCCAATCCGGCCGAAGGATTATGTTCATCGCGTTGGTAGGACAGCACGAGCTGGAAAGGCGGGTATGGCTCTCACCTTCGCTGATCTCTTCGAGATCAAACGATTGAAGGCGATCCAGACTTTCATTGGTTCGTTACAGGTTTAAAATTATTATACCATTAATCTTTTGTATTTTCCTATTTTAGGTAATGCATGTACAAGCAGCATTAAAACCCTTATTCTGTTCGATTTTTTCTCGAAATGCATTTGCTGAATCAGTTATGGGCTTAACGGGGCCTTTATAAATATTTTTTCGATTATGCAACTCTTTACAACTGATTTTTACACATAAAAACTTGTCTCTTCCTTATCGATAACCCCCGTTATAATATCATCTGTTGATTCGTGAAGTTTCCGCTGTAATTTGCGACCATGTGCATTTTAAGACTTATGGCCATCCGTTGTGCTCCACAATTTCCCTGTTATTCTGTACCTGATACGGCATTTGTTTGTTTGCTTTGAAATTCACCATTTGCCTCGATTCCAAAGCCTCATAGACACCTCATAGCGTTTCGCGCATAACTGGTTCTTGTGTTGCATAGTGTTTGGGCAGATCCTTTCTTGGTAATGTGGAGGTTCGAATCTGAACCTAACGGTTCAAACACTGTTAATGATCGTTAATTTTTGTTTTTCTACCGTGAAAGCAAATTAACAAGCATCGAACAATGGGCTCAGTTGTAGGAAGTCCGCTCCTTATTTCCTGTGCCTACTATGTAAGCGACTGCTAAAATTGAATTTGCTAATCCATTTTCAACTATTTCAATCTCTTTATGTCAAGTTTGTTTTTTTTTTAATTACGCATCTAAGGGCGTTTAGAAATGTAGTTTTTTATCCATTTTTTTATAAATCGCATAATGCTTTTTAACGCCCAGAATAGTACCTTAAACCACGTCCAGAAT